CTGGGGTGACACTGTTTATCCACATCATCTCTGAAAAATGATCAGTGCCCTCCCTGAGGAATCATGCAGTCCCCTACCTGCCAGATTATACATAGTGGCTTTGGAGGAGAAAAGTCAGTGCGGGCACCCTTTCTCAGGTGCATCTGGGTATCAGGGACTTCCCCAAGGATCTTTCACTTCTCTAGACCCTCAGTTATATGTCCATCCCGAACCCACCACCCATGGCTGTCATCCTTAATAAATGACTAACTTTTTTCAGATTTTAATTAAAATTATTCATTTTATCAAATTTGCTATGTATCACATTCAGCTGGGTAAAACCAAATTTGTAATTATTTTGGTGTTTAGGTTGACATTAGGAAACTTGTAATCTTTTTCGTTTTTGATTAATCTTCAAATGTTTGATGAGGCCATGGAGTGGAGAAAACATAGACCTTCACCAAGAATGGCTGGCCTGGAGTCTGACTGTGCGCAGCACGAGCTGAGTCATCTGCCTGTTCAGGCCAAGTTTCCTCATCTAGATGGCAGTTACTCATAATGCCATACCACTGGGTCGTTGGAATCAATAATACATCCCCAAGAAGTGCTTTAAACAAAGCCTATCTCTAAGCTATTTCAATGGCTGATGATGATAACGGCAACAAAGAATACTAATTTTCTACACAAATTCTGAACATTTTCAATGGAATTAAACTATTTGATCATATTTATCAAATTTTATTTAAGAAAATTGCCTTTTTTGTATTATAACATGGTATTTTCATAAACCATGGATAAAATTTGTTGTATGTAAATTAGAAAGGCCATTGGCTCATTAAAGTAAGAAAAGCTTCCAAACACATCCATCTGTGTCCCTTGAGAACAGCCCAGACAACAGGGTCCATATTGGTGAGTGAGGTTTTAGTCATATTGTTAAGGGTATCAAGTAAAGATTTGGAAAAGGATCCAGGCCCACAGCGTGATAACAGCACATTAACCAATGCATCAAAGTTAATTTAAACTGGCAATGGCCTAGTCTGCAGTAGAGCAAATGTTGGGGTCACAATGCGTGTATGAGAAGAATTTCTGTGTTCTTCCTGTGGAAACCCACCCATCCTCCAAGGCAGGACTATGGATTTCCAGGAAGCCATTGTTGAAAATGAGTAAACACAGGAACCTAACTTTGCTGACACCTGAGATAACCACCTTAGGAAGAGGAAAGGTTTGCTGTGGCTCACAGTTTTGGAGGTTCTAGTCCATGACTGGATGGTCCTTTTGCTTTTAGGCATATGGTGAGCTGCAGGTCAGAGCAGGGAACACATGGTAGAGAGGAGAGGAAGGGAGGGGCCAGCATCCCATAGCCCCAAAGGTCATTCCCCAGTGATCCAACTTCCCTGCACTTAGCCCCCCCCACACCTTTTACAGACCCCACCACCTCCTAACAGTGCCATAGACAGTTGTGGAGGCTTTCCACACAGGGTTTTAAAGGAGAGGTAAGACCCACATTCCTGCACCAACCATGACACACACACACAAGCAGCCAAGTTTAAAACTGCTACTCACTTGTAAAAAATAAATGTCAGTCTCCCAGGTCGCCTTTCTATCTTATGGCAAAAGGCAGTGCCAGTTCACCCATTGGAGTAAAAGTAGATAACACTAAGACATTGCAGCACTAAAATTTAAATGGAGGAACTGAGGATTATTTCAGCAAACTAGAAAGAAGAGATATGGGTTTTTCTTAAAACTAAGGGTAACAATTGTCCATGTAGCACTCAATAAGCTGCTCCCCGATACAGTCATACACAAGGAATTGATTAACACTGTCCCAGCAACAACAAAACTACCAAAGTCTGAGAGAGTATAACACCAGGAAGCTCAGAAAATATGTGATAAAGTCTGTAAAGACATATTTACAAAATTAGATTATCATTCTTATCAAAAAAAATTACGATTGTCAAAAGTCAAGATAAAATTTCTTTTAAATAACAAAACTTGCTTACAGTGTCTTTCAAAATATTGCCAAATTTAGAAGAATTTACTACTTTTGAAAATACTGGAAAAAAAAAAAAGCACAAGTGACTTGTAGGAAAATCCTGAACTTTGGTTCTGAACTGTCATTCTGAACAAGAGCAGGATGACCAGGCAGAAGAAGCCGTATGCAGGTCATAACTCTTAAAAATGTATATTGCATGGACCTAAAATAATTTTTGTTTGACTACTGAGGTCCTTTAAAATTGAAGTAGTTCATATATTAGTGGTCTGCAGCAAAGTCAACCCAGCCTTTTTAGAAATGTAGGAAACCAGAGATAAATGCACAATGCTCCTGTTCTAGACTTTTAGGGGTCTCATGTTGTGGGTGCCGGTCTGAACTTCGGCCTATGGTCTCACTGTTCTTGCTGCTATATTTAAGGAGGGCCCACAGCACCTGGATCTCTTTAGGATTGATTGGATTCACTATGAAGTGAAGAGCCTGGCCTGGGGTGTTGCTCCTCTGGCAATTGGCTTCAGACACCTAATACTGGTCCATGGGTCTCCATTTTCTCACTTGGAAAAACAGACCCGTGGGCTCATGAACTACACAACAGTGAGGAATGGGTCACATCGTGGTGATTTTCATATATCACAACATATTTAAACTTCCACTTGCCGGATTTCACTTGCTCCTAAATTTATCCACAATGCCATTATTTGACAGAAATGCATTTGATGGCACTTATCTGCTCTGATTAACCTTCAGAGAGTTCCTTCTGACAGTGTATACTGATTGTAACATCTTTCTTCTTGAACTTTCTGGTTCTTTTGTATCAAGGAAATAAACATCTATCCTATGTTTCCTGTTCATAACTTAAATTATAGATTTTTGTTCAACTGCTTTATGCTTTGCCTGGTATTTCAGTAAAATATGTGTATTAATATTGTGCTGGCAACGCCACGTCTGTTTCTCTCTTCAAATTATTTTTGCTGTATTTGGCACTGTCTTTATTCTGCTCAAACACATCTGCTATCCTTGGTGGGAATTCTGAGTTATATTTTTCTGGATTTGGAAGCCAAGGTTACATTTGTTTTATAAACCATAATACTGTAGCAAATAAAGCAACAAATACATTGACATTTTGGAAGACCTCCAATTTTTATACTTATGAACAGATGTATCACAGTCATACACACACACATCCTAGTAAGTTCATAAGAGATATGCTATACTCTTCCTTAATATATTTTTATTTCATGAATCAGTTTTGAATATAACTATTGAAGTTAACTCATAGCAAGAAAGTGAAAGATATGCACTATTTTCTCATTCTTTAGGCAGAAAAGTGCTTAGAATCTAAGGTGCAAGATCATCTCACGCTATCCCTGCCTTGGTTTCCCGCAGGTGAGAAAAATCCTTTTTATTTTTATTTATTTATTTATTTTTTGGTAAATATCTATTTTTTAGTTGTAGGTGAACATAATACCCTTATTTTATTTATTTATTTTTTTTATGTGGTGCTGAAGATCAAACCCAGGGCCTCGCACATGCTAGGCACGCACTCTACTGCTGAGCCAAAATCCCAGCTGGTTGAGAAAAATCTTGATGTGGAACTGAAGACCCTGCACTCAGACACAGAGGGATCAGGAGCCAAGGAGACGGCTCAGCAGAGAGATGACACCGTTGACATTATAATAAATAATTCTGAATTTTGGTATTTGAAATATTTATCTATATGTTGGTCTAAGTATTAACATTTTCTCATACACAGTGTACAGTGAGATTTTTCCTGGTCTATGGTTAGTTCAGAGGCATCTGGGAAGACCTGTCTCTGTGAGCAGTGATAGATCTGATTAGAATCACTACAATAACTTTGACGACATGAAGGGAAGAAAATGGAATGACAAAGTCCAATCCAAAAAGCCTCCTTGAGTCTTCTGCAAGACCCATGCAGCACCCCATAGCCTCTCCCCTTCTCTGAAGTCCCCTGGGCCCCTGCAGTGTGTGGGTTTGCAGCTCACAGCAGCAGGCTTCACAGCAGCACAAAGACCTTCTCAGCCTCACAGACTGGGGCATGGATGGAAGACCAACAGGAAAGGTCAGAGGGCAGCAGGCAGAGTCAGGGCCCCCCCCTGCATAGCCTCTCCCCCAAGCACTGGCCACATCTCTCCTGCACACTGGGGCAGCCCCAGGGAGGGTGAGCCAGGTGAGCACCCTGCAGGATCCATGCTCAGTCATCCTGAACAAAGAAGCAGGGCCAGCAACAATGGGCCTTTTGAAAGGAGCTTGCAAAAGCAGAATTTTATTGGACTGTTTAAAGTGTTAAAAGAAATATGACCCCCTAAGGCAGAAGAAAAATAAAACCATAAGTTGCCTTCTATTCCCTCAGAATTGACACCAACATGCTCTGACATTGGCTCCACTGTGTCTCTGTCCCCAGGAAGTGTGAGGTTTGTCCTGCGTCCTATGCTGGGTGTGAGCCTCACTCGCGGGCATCATCCAGTGTGCTAGACCAAATGGAAGGACTGGAGTCAAATGCTGAAGCGTATGTGCTAGTTCAGGGCTCACAAAGGCAACACTCCCGGGGCAGTTCATCCCATGTGTGCATACTTAATCCAAGTACTCTATTTTCCTGCACTTCCTTGGGTCAGTTCCATTAGCCAGAGAAAATTTCACAACTCACACCATTTAATGTATACAGAGCATCTGGTGCCTGGACATGTTGTGTTTATGGAACATCAAATGCTCGGGGAACATATGGCATCTGCCGAGAGTCAATGTTGGCAGGAGCTCTGCTGTGGAAGAGCACCAAGTGCCTGCAGACGTGCAGTATCTAGACACGTAGTGTACGTAAAGCATTTTGTGCCTGCAGAGCATAAAGAGTTTGCAGGACACCTCATGTGTGCAGACGCTTGACATGTACAGACCATCTAGTGCTTACAGTATGTCAAATAAGTGCAAAGCATCCAGTGTGTGCAGAGTGCTGAGCTGGTACCGAGTCTGGATGCCCAACTCTGGGTTGCAGGCTGGGCATGAGGAGACTACTCACCACGTTGCAGCCTGCACAATCGGGCCCATTCTCACAGGTCCTGCGGCGAGCTTGAATGCCACCACCACACTGGGCTGTGCACCGTTCCCAAGGACCCCAGCCTGTCCAGAACATGTGCGGTGGACATAGCAAATGCTCATTGCAGTATCTGTAATAGGGAAGGAATCCAAGAGGAAAAGGAAATTGTTAAGTGCCGCACGAGACAACTGAGCTTCCCACTCTCCATCCCTGCACCAGAGGCTGCGCACATGGGCATGCTCTGCGTGGAGGGGCTTGCTGTATTTGCAGTGGTTGCACAGGACAGGAGGCAGATGTGGTGCTGGCCATGCTGTGTGCACAGACAATGGAATGCACAGCAGACAATGAAGAAAATGCTCAACTCACAATGCAGGATGGATCTTCCTGTGCGGCCAATTAGAGGAGAAACAAGACAAAACAAAACTCTTCAAATAGACACCCCAAAATAAGAGCAAAGAGAAACTAGCTAGGCAGGGCAATTATCTTCTAAACACAAACATCGGAAGATAAAGTAGGTTAAGAACACAAACCCAGCAGAGCTTTATTTGGATTCATTTCTCATTCCTGAATCAAGTAAGTCGCATCATCTCATTAGGGTAAGTGAAAGCATGAGTTTGGCACAAAGGCCCATGACATTTACTGCTTAGGTTATAGCACATTTAAATTTATTTTTAGGCTCTCAGAATGTTGTTAAATGACTTTTATTTAAAAGACGACAGATTATTTTAAATGAGTTAGTATACAATTCTACACATATTTGTTGTATTTGCAGTGGTTCAATTCTAGACTTCTACACACATCCATTTTATCAATTTTTAGCCAAATACCCCAAAACCCCTTTAGCTCCAGGACTGGTCACATTGCTGTATAATCCTATGGACATGAAATGAATTGGGGAAAATGAACAAACAAACAAACTAACCCCAAACAAGAAGTCACTCTGAATACAGCCTAGTTCACCCAGTCACTTCTGATTATTTAAAGGACTATTTAAACTCAATAGTTCACAGCCTCAGGTGAATAGGGGCTCACAAGAGGCAGAAGAGGAAAACACCAACTAAACACACGGGGGTACTTGTACCATAACCTGTCGTCACTCTGAATGTGCCACACACCAAAGGAAATGCATTTCTGGAGAAGAAGATGTAGGCAAGTGGTAGCCAGCAACCAAGGAAAGGAGTTTGGGGAGTGTAGTTTCTTTACAGAGAATGTTGGGAAGGGTCAACTGTTCTTCTGTCAAACCAGAACCCTTCATGGAGAATGTGAGGCTTCAGGAATGGCTGGAGCATAAAGCAGGGAGCGAGGCCCCATGGAAACCGCCAATAGTATGAGGCACATGGACACCCGCTGGTGTTCAGGGAGTCATGAGAGGTAGACACGAGAGAGCAAGGTAAGAAAGGTGATGGTGAAAGACAACAGGGGGAGGTGACAGGCAACAGAATGAGCTAGCTTTGCCAGATAGAGGGAAAGAATGCGAACTTGGTTTGCAAGAAACCAAGGAAGTCCCATGGAGCTTTGCAGACAAAAGAGCACTGTCAGAGTTAGAGTGAAGAGTCATCTTGTGGGGCGGGCACTAATCACACAGGTGGCCTGCAACCCCTGAGGTTTGAGGAGCTCCCCAAGTTTCAGTGTGGGGCCTGAACCTTCAAAGAGAGGGGAGGCCGCCAACAGGAAGTGCAGATACCAAATCGTGGAATCTGGATGGCAGCAATGCAAATGAGGGACAGTCCAAGATATTCAGGTGCCATGGTGGTGGAAAGAAGGGGGAGGAAGGAGGAAGACAGGGCTTGGTAGAGTTGATATGGTGCAGCAATAATGGAGTCCACAGCAGCCTCCCTGCTGAAGGCTGGAGGCCCTGTCACTTCCAGGAAGAGGTCACTGCTGAGGGGCCCTCAGAGGGTCAGGAAACAGACCAACAGTGAAGTTTCTTTTAACATTCACATTTAAGAGAGGCCAATAACCTGAACAGTTCCCACTCCTCATCCTTTCAGGGTTTCAGATGTGGAAATGCTAGGTCTCCCTCTCAAGGAAGCAGTGTTCCAGTGCTGAGCCCTCAGGAGAGGACACTCTCAAGTGCCTGGGGACAGGGGGGGAGCCCCCTAATCAGGAGAACATGGCCTGAGGGGGAAGACTGAGGCTCCAATAGGCTGGGAGAATCTGCACCTGAAGCACAGTATTCCAAGAAGTAAATGTTAGCATATGTGTTAGTGCTCGGAGTATTCCAGGAGGAAATTGTCTTTTGTTTTGAGAGCAGGTTTTAGGGAAGTCAAGAAAACTCAGGACCTCAGAACACACTCTGCGTTTAATTCTAAATGTCCACGTGTATGTAAATAGAACCATTTCTAAACTGATATTTAAAGGTATGGCTTATTAGACTTGTTTTCCCTAATTTCAGTCTTCAGTGCACATGCACACTCGCACACACACAAAGGGCAGGAAGGGCAAAGGAAAGTCTTACTAAAAATGCTCATAGAGCCCTTGAATTTTAATAAAAAGCTCAGCATCTGAGCTACCATATCCCCAGAGCAAAATAAATCATAACACATAAATACTTTCTTGTATTTGCCTGCAGCAGCCACCTCTGAAAACCCTCAGCCTGTTATTATAGTTACAGATCTACTGCAGGGTAACCTGTGCATGTAGACCAGAACTTTCCAACATTGTCAATAAATCATCTCCAGGGCTGCATTTTAAGGTTGTCAGCTAATGGCCTTCTCTTTTTCCCTCTTCCTCCCTCCACAGTAGTCCTATGAAACAGGCCACCCCAGGATTTCCTGAGTTCTCACTCTCTGTAATTCCAAGACTGTGATGAGAAAGGTCAGAGGGAAACAGAAATTGCTAGGCTATCTCTCCCCTTTGTGTCTGGGTTTACCCTCAGGAATTCAGGCTGGAAGAGACTGCTCAGAGGCAAAGCCCCTAGAAGGCCCCATGCCTGGATCCCCTGCCACTGTGAGAGATCAGTTTCCTTCTGGCTCTCCTCACCCTGACCCCAATCAGCTGCACCCCCAAGAGAAGCCCCCTCATTAGACCACAGGAACACCAACAATGATGGGAAACCAGAGACCTGGCATCTCTGCTTAAGGATCTTGATTAATTTACAGACAAAAGTGTCCACACAACGGGCCAGTAGTCGGCTTCTACTTTCTCCGGTTCCGAGGCTGCTTCTGGCCTTTACCAGATGACCAGCTAAATGTTCCTAAATTTTTATTGGCTCTGTTAGTTCTAAAGTATCTTAAAGCAATGAAAGTCACAGATGCATTTCATGATGCATTAAATATTAAGATTTTAATTTTGCTCATGACTGCTCATTCTTATTTTGCATTTAAAAGCTAACTGATGACCCACCGTGTTTCTCAATAAATTATCCATTTTTCCATAAACCTAATCTCTGTGAAGGAAAAGCCTTCACAATTCCACACAGGCAGGGTCTCAACACTGCACCATGCTGCTTCTCGCATTTCTTTATGCTACAAACCATTCCATTCCAGTTGGGTCCAAGGTAGTTCCTTACTACAACTTGTCAGGCTGAACCAAGGAGAGCCCTTTCAAGAGCCATTTTCTCGTTGTTCATGGTAAGTAATAATCCTTTTATTGGGGAATACTGGAGTAATTCAATCTCTTATGCAGCCAGAAAAAAAACTGTACATATATAAAGTCCACCATGATATTTAAGACAACATGTCAGAACAGAGTAACAATGTGCAGAAAACCTCACTTTGGTTTATCACAACATGAAGCAAACATACCATAAAGACAAAAATAATCATATAATGAAATCCCATTGGTTCTTAAGACCCTAAGGTTTGATAATGCATTGTACAGACTCTAATGTGGCCCATCTGATACCCACCTGCTGGAACTCACACTTTGCTTAATCCCCTCCAACTGAGGATGGGCGAGACAAAATTGTCACTCACTTCTAGCCAACAGAATATGTCCAAGGTGATGAAAGTCACTTCTGTGATTATGACATGTAAGATTATAATGCCTTTACTTTAGGGAAGTTTCTCTTTCTGTCTTCGAGGAAGTAACCAGTAAGGTGAGTAATGCCTGGTATTAAAGAAGTGAGGGTATACTCTAGTTTATATCCAGTGAAAAACTGAGGCCCTTAGGTGGTCAGCCTGCAAGGACGTGATGGTTGCCACAACTGTCTGGTCTAAGAAGCAGATGCCTCTCCTCTAGCTCAATGCTCAATGGGAGCCTGGTGTGCACTTACATTGCAGACTGCCACCCCACCACCAAAGATAGCGGAGCTGTGTCTAGGATTGAAACCCAGAGAAGCGGCAAGCTAACACAGGAGGTGCTTGAAACAGCACATTTGTGGTAACAACACTGTTATGTGATGACTACTAGAAGATATCATAGCAGTGTGGAGTATGGTGTTCCTAAAATAAATAAATAAATAAATAAATAAATAAATAAATAAATAAATCCCCCCAAATGGGGAAAGTGCCTTTGGGATCAGAGAAGAGGTAGAAGAAAGAATTTTGAGGAACATTATAGAGAAAGCTTAAATCAACTTGTAAAGCCTATTAGTAGAAATTTGGATTTGAGGATGCTGCCAGCAAGGGTTTTAGAACAAACTAGGATAAATAACTAAACTGCATGATGAAAAAGACAAGCCAATTAGAAAATAGGAAAAGGACTCAATTAGATATTTCTTCAAATAATATAAACAATGAGCACATTTAGTCATTAGGGAAATGCCAATCAAAACCATGATAAGACTCACTTTATATACTTTATTATACTCACTTTATACACAGTAGGGCGACTATAGCAAAAGCAAGAAAATAGTGTTGGCAAGAATCTGGAAGAATTAGAACACTCATACATCGCTGTTAAGAATGTTCAATGGAGAGATCTTAGTGGAAAGCTCTTTGGCAGTTCCTCCAAAAGCTAAACAAAGAATTAACATACGACCCAGAAACTTCAGTCCTAGACATATGCACAGAAGAATTTAACAGGAACTTGAACAGATACCTGTACACCAATGTTCATCATCACATTTTTGGCAATATGCAAAATGTAGAAATAGCCCACGTGGGCACCACTTATGGCCAAATGGATAAGTAAAGGCACTTACAGCCATACAGCTGAATACTATTAAACCTTAAGAAAGGAATGAGATTCTGGTCCAACTACAATGTCCATGAACCTGAACCCATCATGCTAAGTGAGCCAAGAGAGATGGCAAAGGGCAACACCGGGGTTCCACTTACATGAAATGCAGATAATAACAGGCAAATGGACAGAGATGGGGTTGGAGGTTGCCAGGGGTTAGAGGATGCTAGGATGGGGATACACTGCTTAGGAGCAAGGAGAAGGCTATGGAGACGGGAGGCTATGGCTGCACCAAGCTATCCATGTGTTAATGGTTGTCAACTATACACTTAAAAGTGGGTAAGTGGCTAGTTCACGTTGCCTGTGATTTACTACAATAAAAATAACAAGGAGATAGGAGCATGTGATTAGAGACTGGAAGAAGGGAAAGCTTAGTTATCCAAAGGTAGAAAGCTTCCAAAATGATTACCTACCATAATCATGGAAAGAGGAACCTGTAGCCAAGCGGGTCACACAACTACAGAAACTCACGAGGACAGTGTGCAAGGTGCTGCCCCAGCACTTGCTGCTCACAGTAAAATGTAGGAGGAGAGAGAATTGAGGGCCACTCCATTCAACAAAGCAAACAGAGGCTGCATGGTTTTTGGGAACCTGCTTCTCCTGATGCCAAAGATGCCAAAATTAAGAAACAGCTTCTAAGCACCATCAGGAAAAGCTGGCCTCAGGGGAAAGCTAAGGGTATTACTGTGAAAACTCAGAAATATAAGAGAATCAGAGTAACATGGAGTTCAAGCATAGCATCCTTCTAAGATGTCACAAGCAAGGGGTGGCTCAGGGATCCTCTTGGTCACAGGGGGACCCTAGGAACAGGAGGGCTCTGTCTCCCAGGCTGCTGGGGCACCTGAAGGCACAGTAGGGCTATCTTAGGGATCTGCAGGTGTGGCTTCTGTCCAGTGGGGAGACCCCAGGGAAACCCATGAAGAGCCATAAAGTTCTTCTGAAGGTTATTTTAGCAAAAATACCACCAGCTTGGATTAAAAGAGACCATTTAAATGAAAGCCTGTGGGAAACCCAGCACAGCACTGGCAATTGGGCTGACAGGCTGCAGGTGCTTGATACCTTTAAGAAAATAGGGACAAGCCAGTTGTGTAGACGGAAGCAAATTGGGCAGATCCAAACTTCATCTGAGCACCTCCCAAGGCCTGCCTGGCTAGGGTCCGGCATTCCCAGGGAGCAGCGAGTTCCCTGTTATTTCCATCTGCCTCTTTTTAAACAGCAACATCTCCTGCTGGCATCCTTTCCCTGCCCGACTGTTGCATATCAAGTGATAACTTGCCTCTCGTTTAGAGAATGGCAGACCAAGAGGCCCAGCACCCAGGGAGCCTCATGCGTGTCTGAGACTGACTTGAATGGTAAAATTCTGGGCTTGGGGAAGATGACTGAATAGGATAAGACTTTGGGGGACCTTGGGATTAAGTGAAAGGCATTTTGCATGTGGAGGGCATGAGTGACAATGGAACAGAGATCACTTGTGGCAGAAAGACCCTAAGGAGACCCTGATGGCCCTGCCCCTGACATGCACACCCTGAGGCACCCCCTCATCCTGACGGCCTGTAGCTGACTTCGAACCAATAGAATATGGCAAGCATTGGGTCCTCTTATGGTTTCGTTACCTCGGACTGGGCTGCCATCTTGGAGGACACTCCTGGACAGATTTGAGGGAGAAAGACCACGCAGGGGAGGGTCATGTGTCTAGAAACTCAACCCTGACTGGCCATGTGCATAGGATTCAGGTAAGCTCTGTAGGAACACCAGTCCCTCTAAGACCGTGAAATAATAACCCTGGTTGTTTTAGTTTGTGGAATGATTATGACACAGCAGGCGAAAAGTAATATATACAATCACATCTACATTTTGATAATATTTATAACAATGTCCCTTTCTTCTATCCATTGGTGGCCCTCTTGGTGCCTTTAATTTTTTGGATACTCAGGAAAATCCAAGGAATAAAAAGAAAATAAACTGTCCATACATGCTAACATATATGAAAACAATAAGTGAGATATATTATTTATCTATTGCTTTTTTTAAAAGTAGTGTGAAAATTTTAGAGACTATTGATACAATTAAGCTCCCACACATTGGAGATTTTGTCCCAAAGTCATTAACTGTGATCCTGGCATTAACTCAGGGATTTTTTTTTTTTTGAGAAAATCAATTTATTCACTTTTGGTCACCCAGGATTTCTTTAGGTTTGATGGTTTTTAAATAAGCATGATCTTGTTAATCATTTAATGTGCCTATTCCTTAGAACTTTGTACCTTCCCATGGAGATCAGGGTCTCCTTTAATCTAATCTCAAATATCTCCATTGTCAGAATGAGCAAAGTTTTCCTTTGGTTTTACTTATATGGAGAGACTTCTTTTGCAACAGGGCAAAGAGATTTCTAAGAATCTTTTGCTTATGAAGACGAAAGCCTATCAGATACTTAATTTGTTGTTTTGTTCTTTGTTTGGTTGGTTTTTCACACTGCAAGACTATTCAGTAGAGAGACTTCAATTTCATGAAAATATTATACAGTCTCTGTCTTTACCATCTGCTTCTTCATTGCTGAACTTAAGTTTTCCTCCAGTAAGCAAGCACATACCCAGCCCTAAAAGATGTTCATTAGTCTTCCGGAAATAAGGAACATTTTCAGTGTAATGGCCCCAAACCACTGGCCATTCTTTCTCCAGATCTTTTTCTGCAAGCATAGCTTTATGAACAATGCTACTCACATACAGAGCGTGCACATACTGTGGCTGCAGAGGTGGGCAGCGTCTTCCTGTCCACCTTGTTATGCTGTGGCAGCACCTCGACTCCAGGAAAGCCTTTGCACAAATGAAGATGTCTTTGCCCAGTGGACTGCACTACCTGACAACTCCCAGCACTCAGAAACTTCCCATCAGTTTTAAATCTAACAAGGTTCATAAATAGCGTGGAGACATTTTTTCTATAATTGGCTTTCCCACTTCTCAACTGGTGTTAGATGGAAAATGACAGACCCGTACAGGACCGTCTCACAGGACTATTTCAAACATGACCATCTTCCTTTTCCTCCTATTCAAAAGAATGAAATATTATTCGGTAAGTGAGCAACACAGTGAGGGAAGAAATAATGGTTCTCCCTAGTTGATTTCAGGTTGTAATAAATTCCTATGAGAAAACTGTCCACACAGCAAGCCTGTTAGTATTCATTTTTATTTTTTTAATATGTAAGTACTAATTGCACCACAAATAACTATTCACAGTGCTTTTGTAAGACATTCTTTGGAATGCATGACACTAAATACAAGCCTACTACCTTTTCATTAAAAGGCACTGGAATAATAACTTGATGTCAGTACAGCAGAATAAGAATCCAGAAAGTTCTGTGAAATTCACCTATGTGGTTTTTTTCTCCCAATAGTGACAAACTGGAACACACATTAAAAAGACAAGAAAGATTTAATGATCACAGCTATGAATTATGAGGATGAAAACAAACCTCTCATTCTAAAGGAAGAAACAAATGATTAGATCCAAGACTAAACTGACAGACTGCTGTGATGTGATGGAAGGTTAAAATGCACATGGAAAAGAATCCCCACTTCAGGTCCGATGCATCCTCCCCGAGGGTGTTTGTTAACAATTAGTGTGTGGCTGTGAACACAACCAAAGCCTCAGTGTGTTTGCACCTGTATTCCAGCTGCTGCATTTTGTTCTGATGCAAACTTTACTTTACCTGCCCCACAGCACCTGGACCTGACCCTTTTGGGTTCTCCTGGGAATTGCAGCTGTGGTGACTGGTGTAGCTGAGGTCTCTCAAGAATGATCGTTCTCCAGCAGACTCATTTTCTGAGTTTCCAGGAGCCCATCTCAGAGAGGCCTGCAGCCTGGGTGTCTCCATAGCCTTGGGAATTCCTCAGCTGAGCCAGCCCAACCATGCAGGCAGCAGAATGGGAAAAGTGCTTTTAATAGGAGGTTTTGGTCAAAATAAAGATGTCACAAAAGGAAGAGGATAATTCAGCTCAACCAAAAGGGATGCCACAGATAAGCTCAGCTCGATCCAAACGGAAACTGACCACACCAATGGGAGGAAGCTGGGGATACTCTGCTGGGCAGCTTGGCACGTACCTCTCCTCACGGTTCTGTCCCACACACACCCGGCCCCCATGCCTGGGGGTGGGGTTGCTGCAAGACCGCTGCCGCACCTGGAAGCCGATCCCACAGGTGGTGCTGCAGGGCGACCATGAGGTCCAGGGAGTCCAGCCTCCGTTCCTAGGGAAAAGAAGCCACACAATCACTAGGTCACACTGGCTCAGAGTCCAAGCCCCTGCGCACCCACCGCAAATGCACATGGCCCTGGGTCACCACATGACTGTGGTGCCCCTGGGGAGAGGGAATGCCAGGGTGGCCTGAATGGGCTGGGTCAGGGGAACTTCAATGACTGTGAGCCCCCTACTCCTTGACATCTGATTTTAGAGGTAAGACAGGAAATTTAAAAATGCAATTTTAAGCACACTGTAAATCATTTTAAATGAGCGGTGTCACGAAACTAAGAAACTTTAGTCATGAAAAATGTTAATAGTTTATTTTACTAAAAAGCAATTAGAAGTAAATCCCTAAATATCCAGATTTTGTGATTTTGTTTGACTTGTATTGCATCCATTATCATCTCTGGAAAGTGCAGCTGGGAACCAAAGAGTCATTTAAAACTCTACCAACACCTCCTTTCAGATCTACTAACATCAGAGAGAGTGAGCAACCCTCCTGAGGGCATCGTGTGCACAAAGAGTGCTACCAGGCTCAGGTGTCAAGTCAGACCTCTGATACAAATGAAGGAGGAACATTTAAGTTCAGATCCTTGAAAAGTGACAAAATATAAACAGCATAAACAAGGAGTGCAAATTACATGAATCTGTCTCTATGCATCACAGACATACAATAATGCAGATAGACAAAATTATAAAATAAAAGTAGAATTAGATGATTTTATAAAATAAACCATGATTGACAACAAGAGGAATTATTTCAGTATTATATTTTTTTCCTTAAAATGCCTAAATTCATGGTCATTTATAATTTAGACATCTCCCTTAGCTATTCTTCCCTGATATTAAAAAATAAATTGTAGGTATTTGGGGATTTTAGGTATTCAGATATAGATTAAATGCAGAGTTCAAACTCCCATGTAGAAGGTCTAGTGCATGTGGAGTGAGTTCTACTTCTGTACCACATGTGGATTTCCATAGGCACTCCTAACCTCACCCATGGGATTTGTATTTCCACAGGGTGGGGAAATCGAATCACTTAAACTCTCTGCTTTTTACTTTGTACATTCCTTTAGAAACACCAGGTCCACAACTATGCCACTAAAAACACAGGTATAAATAATAATTTAAACCTTAACTTTAAGACAATCTAAAATGAAAATTCCTCAAAGAAGTTTCCTAGTGTACCTAATATTCCCCACTTTATTTGCTGAAACTTAGCAGTGATATAAATAAAATCTACATTGTTAGCCTTGTGCATATTATAATAAAGCTGCTTTATGGTAATTTAATCAAAGTAAGACTTCCATGTTTTTCTTAAAAATAATTAGCTAGTTTCTTTACCCTCTAACTATATTCTTACAAATTACTCAAGTAATTAATTGAAATATTCAGCTTATTTACATATAAAATAAATGTTAGATGATGCTGAAAACACTGCTTTCAAAATTGTTTTGAAATTCTTAATTTCCTAAACATTTTAACAAATGTGGAATTTTATGATATATTCTTCTTATAATACACAGAATAAGTGATGAAATAAATGAATGCAATTGTAAATGTATGTGTTCACTACATGGAACTGGGTTGACATGCTTCTAAATGCTGTCCAGTGGTAGACACAGCAGCAGGCAACCAAAAAAGCATCACAGACTAATCACATATCGTCAGCTGGAACATCTCAATGATTAAGTGTGTATGAGACAATTCACTTATGTGTTTAAAATATTGTTAGAACTGGTTCGCTTATTTGATTTTTAAGTTTAAAATAACCACCCGTTGTATTTCAAGACAACTTAGATAATGACTTTCTGACTAGAATAAACACTGAAGATGTATAGATAAACCAGTCAACAATGCACTCAGATAGCTCTTTTGTAATTAAGCAGTATAGAAAGGACATTAGCCACTTATGGTAATCTTCAGATGATGGCAGCTTGGCAGCATTTATGAAGTTTCTGCCTGTCATCAATGGTGGCCTCTTAGAGTGTGGACAGCAGGCAACACACAATTTGATGGTGCCCGTGCCTTCTGTTGTACAATCTTATCTCTGCAGCCCCAAATGGCTCCTTCAACTTTGTGGGTGAGCCAATTACCCTGCAAAGACTGTCAGCAGATGCCAACATCACCTGTCCTATCTGCATGTCCCCTTTCTTATCCCTTCTCTAGGGCATGCTGAGACTTCCTGTCCAGGGTTCTTGCATAGTTTGATTCCCCCCACAGAATTTCCTCTGTCTGTGACTTCATAGACAAATGTCCACATGCTCTCTGCATGTTTAGATGGGCTCATGACAAGAAGAACCCTTTTTAACATTCTGCATTAGTGTACACGCAAGGAGGGTGCCTGAAGACGGTCTCAGAGGATGTACTGATGTTTGTGGACAGGGTGCTACAGGAGCACGGCAAGATGTAAACTAGTGTAGCTTTATAAAATTTATTTATTCATTCATTTTTAACAAAGAAAACAGGAAACCTACTCCATGGATCACATTATTTGAAGTGTTCTCCTGGTCACCCAGAGCCCAGTGTCACTAAGTGGAGACCTGAGCTCTGACTACAGAGCAGACTTCTGATCATGAAAAGATTTGGCTTCTTCTATCTTCCACCTAATATATTTGTTCTACAGTGGGGATGATTGTCTATGTATTGCAGAAATAGTTTATTTCAGTAACATGGACACACCCCGGAACCAATCCAATCGTGCTGTGTAAATTAGTAATATTTTCCCTACACTAATGATGAGCATATGAACAGGTTTAGATTTATGATCTAACTTGTAGTTTTAAATTCCTTCTAATTTATAATTTAATTTTTAAGAGGTGGATGTCCCCCGGCCTTTTCGCCCCCCATTGTCTCCCAGGAAAGGTGTGCATTAGGAATGATTTACCGAATGCCCCAGCACCTGAGTACACCAGAGCAGTCTGGGGGACGCACCTGGAACAGTTGGCGATCTCCATGCTGGGGCCTTCGCACTGCCAGCCGCCACACTGGGGGGCCGGGCTGTCACAGGAACGGGACCGGCAGAGGCAGGATCCCACAGCAGTGCCATCCGTGTGCGTGCAGGGCGTCCACGGAGACCATGGTCCAAAGTGCCCGTCCACAGTGAGATTCCTGATCTAGGAGCAGACAGAAGTGAGAGTGCCGGGAAGTGTTAAACTGCAAGCGAGTCGGAGTGACCTTGGAAGAGCCCTGGAGACATCAGAACCCCACGGAGTGTTTCTAAAATTACAGGGATGTGTGAGGCACCAAGTCAAAGTGGAGCCCTGGGGTCAACGGTTGGGGAGGGAGTTACAGAGGAAAGAAGAAGGAAAAATGAGGGAAAGAAAGGAGGAGGAAGGGATGAAAGAGTGAAAGATGCCCCTGACCTGGCAATAGGGTTTGGGAAGTATGGTCCCCTGATATGGGAAATCCAAGGAGCAAGATTAACGGGAGTGAAAACATCACCAAGGTACACACCTGTTGCCTGTGTAAGTACATTATTAAAAATGAAACATTGGTGAAGTAGTTATGGAAACCCACCCAGCTCCAGGGGCGCCTCTACCTGGCAAGGTAGGGTTCACATGCTCTGAGAGCCCGTGGGCAACGGGAGCTGCAGCAGCTCCTGGGGCCAGGACCCAATCAAGCCTCTGGGACTCTGCAGGCCAGTGGGGGCTCCACATGTATCATTACCACCTGCAAAGTCCCATGTGGCTCACGGCCAGGGCTATGGTCCCTGAGCAGGGAACAGTCAACAAGCATCTGGGATCTGGGATGGACACTGTATTGGCCCCTCAGGTGAAGACGGTGCAGGTGAAGGAGCTGGCGAGGACTGCTGAGGCTGAGGGCAGCTCGAGTGGTGACAAAGAGCATCACGGCTGCCAAGTGCTGAGTGCTCCCACAATTGCCCACCAGGAAAACATGCCCATTCCCCGGCCCCTGTGGTGTCCATCTGCAGCTCCTGCCTGGATGCAGACCATGCTGCTGCTCCAAGCCTTGCCTGCCATGTGGACTCAAACTACCAACTGGACAGATTCTCTTGGCAAAGCAGCAAATATCCTGCTGTTGGGGATTTTCCACATTCATTCTCCACCCTTTTAGCGGCCTTCCTCTTTCCCCTGTCCAGAAGACTCCTGCATACACGCATGACGGATCTGTAGTTACTCTCCCTGTGATTTAAGCAGGCCTGTGCTAACAAGTGCTCACATGCTCTACACCCAGACCACTGCCTGATCCATGAACACTGCCATTGTTGCTTGTACTATACAAAGCATCAGTGGCTTGACTGACCATGGAACTGGCATCTAGGAATATTGGTGACCAGACAGAACATTTGTACAATGTTTACACAATACAGGTCCATAGTACTCTGACTATTCACACCTGTCATTACTGCTGTGACTGTGTTGTCAGGGACAGGGCGCGGGGTGCTCTGGGGAGCCCTGCAAAGCCAGTTTTCTTCCACTGTGGTGCCCACAGGGTGCGTGTAGGCTGGAAGTGACACTGACAGTATCACACACCTGCCCGAGACAGTTCTATTTGGCTTCACAAACAAATAAAGTACCTGTTTGCCTCCCTGGAAGCATGCAAATGAAGCTCAGGCTCAGACAAGACCAAGTCTGGACTATAAGGAACTCAGTTTTCAAGGGTCCCCAAATCTTAGCTGTGTCTGTCTGCCTCTGGCTTGGAGGTGTCTTGCTGGGACGGAAACTGGTGACAAGAGTTCTTACTAGGGATAAAAAGACAAGGGACCTCCTACTATTTGGAGAAATTTCACATTGAAAACACTTCATAGCTTGTTTTTAACTGAGGACAGTTGGGGCTCATTGGGTTAGCTCAGGAATACAAGGTGTCTCCTGCTGAGCTGGCTATTGGTGAACGGATGAACAGGGCAGGACTGTGCCAAGCGGGTACCATGGTGCTGCTGTGTGTGACTTAGGGGCAGGTGATTGTCCTTCCTAATGACCCTTAACACACATTTAACAAACAACATGTGGCAGTTCACCCCAAGTGATGCAGAAAACCAAAGAGTTTAAAAACAGGGGAATTTTAAAATAGGGCAAAGTGCAAACATAACCAGAACAGCATGGTAACTCGAGATACCAACATTCAAGTGGTGAAACACATTATCTTCATCCTAAAATCTAACATAAAATGCCTCTTCCTCCCTTGCAGGCCTGTGTTTCTGTGGATTAGACTTCAATCTAGCCATTTTGGGAGAAGAAACACAGAAACTTCCAGAAGATGACTTCATCGTCAGGAAAAAGAGTCCCACAAACTATAAACCTGAAAGTAACCCATCTTTATGACATAAGTGGGATACTAAAGATGACAAATCCAGGGACGAAGAACTTGTCCTTGTCATGGTCCTGGCAGGAAACAGAACTCACAATCCAAGAGACTATAAAGAGAATTAGATGAGGCACCAAGAGCCGAGGTATGTGCTGAGCTAAGGAAACCTCCAAGGGGGGAAGATGGCCCCAGGACCCACCGGGCAGGAAGCTTGCGTAACCTGAGTGCTGCGGTGGGAAATGAGGGGTCCCCCAGAGACTCCTGTGTTAATGCCAGAATATTCAGAGTGAAATGATTAGATTATGAGAGCTGTGTCCTGGTCAGTCTGTCCTTGCTTGAATGGACTGTGTGGTCACCACAGGCTGGTGGGACGTGGCTGGAGGTGGTGGAGGAGGTCCAAGCTCTGGAAAGGTGCCTCTTCCCTGCAGCCCTCTCCTCTCTCTCTGCTTCCTGGCTTCTATGAACTGAGCAGCACTCCTCCACCCGCATTTCTGCCAAGTTCATCTGCTCCACCCCAGGGCCAACCATAGACTAAACCTCTGGAACTGCGAGCCAAAACAGAGTTTTCTTCCTCTAAGTTGTTCTTGTCAGCTATTTTGATCACAGTGAAAAAAAGCTGACTAACACTAGCAATTTTAGAGAAATGCAAATCAAAACCACTCTAAGAGTTCATCTCACTCCAGTCAGAATGGCAGCTATTATGAAGACAAACAACAATAAGTGTTGGCGAAAAATGTGAAGGAAAAGGCACACTCATACATTGCTGGTGGGACTGCAAATTGGTGCAGCCAATATGGAAAGCAGTATGGAGATTCCTTGGAAAATTGGGAATGGAACCACCATTTGACCCAGCAATCCCTCTCCTCGGTCTATACCCAAAGGACTTAAAAACAACATACTACAGGGACATAGCCACATCAATGTTTATAGCAGCAAAATTCACAAGCTAAATTGTGGAACCAACCTAGATGCCCCTTAGTAGATGAATGGATAAAGAAAATGTGGCATATCTACACAATGGAATATTACTCAGCAATAAAAGAGAGTAAAATCATGGGATTTGCAGGTGAATGGATAGAGTTAGAGAAGATAATGCTAAGTGAAGTTAGCCAATCCCCCAAAAAACAAATGCCAAATGTTTTCTTTGCTATAAGGAAGCTGATTCATAGAGGGATAGGGAGCAGGAGCATGGGAGGAATAGATGAACTCTAGGTAGGGCACAGGGGTGGGAGGGGAGGGAGGGGGCATGGGGTAATTAATGATGGTTGAATGTTTATTAATCATTATTAATTAATTAATTATTATTATTATCCAAAGTACATGTATCATTATTATCCAAAGTACATGTATGAGGACCCAAATTGGTGTAAGTATACTAAGTATACAACCAGAGATATGAAAAATTGAGCTCTATATGTGTAATAAGAGTTGTAATGCATTCTGCTGTCATATATAAATAATAATAATAATAATAAAGAAGCTGACTAACACACTAAGCTTGCAGACCCGAGGGGTGGCTAAGGTTGCTGCTGACATTTGAGGGTTGCAGCCTGGACAGGAGCAGCTCTGTTGAGCTGCTGTCATGGAGGCATGAAGCCCCTGTGAGAGGCACAGTCCTGAACTGAAGAAGGCCCGGGGAATTCACCGCTGTAGGCTCTGCCTTCCTACATCCCCCAGTGGCTCCTCACTTGGACAGTAGTACATCTAAGAATAGACATGTGACCCAAATGGGGCCAATGAGACTCAAAAGCAGATTGCAAGAAGCTTCCAGAAATCATTTTCCTTCAGATAAGAGGAAGAAACTCTTCTCTTTCCATTCGGACACTGGCATGCAAGGAGGCAATGTTCAGCGCATCCGTCACCACTTTGTGAGCAAGAGGAGAAGGTTTGAAGAATCAGACCTGTTCACGCAGTGTCCTTCCCAAACAAGGCAGCAGAATCAGACCTGAAAATGTCACCTCTTGATGTGTGGCAGGATGAAAATAGTCCTCTCTTAGGTCCTACCCCCAAAGAACTCTATTAGTATTAGGCATATGCAATCCTATTGATTACAGCCCATTTATACTATGTTTACAGAAAAAAAAATTAAGATTCAACGAAGTTTTTTAACTTGTTAACAACTACACAAGTAGTGATCTAGAGGAGTAGTTAGGGATACTGGAGGGCCCTTTTCCCCACTAGTTCAGGATTTTTGGATATCATCACTAGTGACATTGGGCAAGATAGAGAGTTCTTTGTTGAAGAGTGATATGGTTTGCATCTGGGATGTTTCTCTGAAAGCTCATGAAAGACAACAATGTTCAGGAGAGAAATGACACACTGTGAAGGCTATTACACTGTGAAGGCTATTACACGGTGAATGGATTAATCCATTTGATGGATTAATAATTTGAATGGACTGCTGGGTGGAACTATCCACGGATGGGGCATGGCTGGAGGAAGCAGTAGTAGTATGAGGGGCATGACTTTGTGCACTCCGTCTTTTTCTCTTCTCCACCCCCACCCCCGCCTCCTCTCTGCTTTCTGACAGCCAGGAGCTAACAGCTTTCCTCTGTCATGTTGTTCTGCCTCATCTCAGGCCAGAGCAAAGGATCCAGCCAACCATGGACTGAACCTCTGGACCATGAGCCACAATAAGCCTTTCCTCCTCTAGGTTGTCCTTGTCAGATGTTTTAGTCACCACTATGAATGACTAACACACAGGTGGTGGGAGTCTGTCCTGAGCAATGCAGAATGATTTGATCTTCAGTGACAATCCTGGTCTCCTCCCACTAGATTCCAATAGTACCTCACCCCAAGTTATGACGACCCAAATTGTCTCCAAGCATGGCTAGGTGGCCCAGGGAAA